TTCAAAATTTTTCCCAATTTTACCGATTAAAAAGCTGTGTAAACGTAAATAGGATAGAGATAGAGTCTTACACAGGAGATTTATACTGGTTCAGATCAAAAGACCCTACGTCCAGTTGCTAATCACTCAAACAGAGGATTAACGCTGTCACTATAATCAAAGTTGTTACAAACAGATAATAATTGAAAATACAAAGTAAAGAAAACACCTCTCTTGAAACCCATAAGAGATGAAGAACAGCTTTCCCCAGAGACGGCACAACACACAATCCACTAAGAACTCCACTTAGTGATTCTTATCGCTTCTAGCCCATACCAGGTTCCAAAAGCCCCTTTTTCCTCCAACAAATAGTTCTCTGGCACTCACAGCACTTAACTTTTGTTTGAAAAAGGTTGTTCAATTTTTCTGAGTGCCATAGAGAAGCTTAAGTAGAGAAATTAGGGTTTGGGAATTGGGATTTTCGGAACTAGGAGTCTTGGGATTAGGGTTTTCGAAAATAGGTTTAATTTGAAGTTGAAAATCAAAATCTGATCTGAAATAATCGATTAAATGAAGTGTTAATCGATTATTACGAGCCTAAATCAACAGAACCCCAAAACTCACTGTTTTAATCGATTAAAAGCCCTGTTAATCGATTAACGAGCCTATTAATCGATTAACAGGTGTGTTAATCGATTATTACGATGGAACGGATACGTAAAATGGTTTTTCTCACTGTAATAATCGACTATTTGACCATTTAATCGATTAAAGCCGAGGCAAACTGATAAATTTGAGTTTTTGAAGCTTCTAAAGTGCAGACTATGTACCGGATATCTTAAACTCTAATATTACAGACTCAAACTAATCAAACACAGAGTTATTACACAATAAAACAAGTCTTCAACTCTCTAAGTTCTTTGTTCTTGAATCATCATCAAAATCAACAAGCTTCATGTCCATGTAAGTTCAACATCAAGTCCTTGAATGTTCAACATAAGTGACTCCACTATTAGATCACAAGTTAAGGGAATCAACATGGTCATTACTCCTGAAGTATGGGAACAAGTGGTTGGACTTCATGATACTGGTGTCAAGGTGTCCAAAGGAAACATTGCAAAATTGCCAGACATCAATAAAAATCCAATTTTTCCGCACTTGCCTCAAAGATCACAATGACTCGATGAGGATCCTCAATGCTGGAAAAATGAGGCTTGAATAGAGAATTCTTGCCTTCGTTATTGCTTGGATGCTCACACTAAGGGGGAGCAATCATGCTTTACTCAATGAGGGAGATTTAGCACTTATGTACTGTATTACAAATAGTATTCGTGTCAACTGGATTTATGTAATCAAGGATCACATGATTAAAGCAAAAAGGCTGGCTGATTACAAATTACCATATGCAATGCTTATTAATCAATTCTTTAGGTATTTTGCAGTGGATCTTGCAGGAGAATATGTGGAGACTCCAAAGGCCTCCAATGAAGTTGATGACTCAACTTTGCGAAAGATGGGGTTCATCAAGATTGATGAGGAATGGATCTCAAAAGCTGAAGCTGGAATGTCCAAAGATGAAGATGAGGATGAAGATGAACCAGAACAAGTTGAAATTCTCTCTTTTCAAGCTACTGAGGTTCCTCAATCAACTAAAGATCATCCTTCCTATGAGAACATGGAGATCATACCATTCATTGAACAACCTGACCGTGGGACTCCACTCTCACAGTTTGAACAAACCATGCTTTCCCAGATGGCTACACTGCAAGAAAACTAAAGAAGATACGTGCAGATGACTTACCAGCACTTCTAGCAGATCAACACGCAATAATCCAACCTTGGAAACCAAATTGTTGATCTGTACACCAAGATGGAGGATATGCAGTTGAATCAAGGATATTGGGATGACTAATCTCATCAACAAGGGTCTCTTTCTATCACAAGCTTCCATTTACTATTTCTTTTATTTCTCTAAATATTCAGTCTATAATATTAACTAGTCTTTGACCAGAAACACTTCTTGAACTTCCTTTAATATAATGCAGATGTTTTAGAACCAAATTAGAAATCCTAGATAGACCAAATAATTAATAATTCAACATTCTGGTAGTTTTAGTTGATATAAAATCATTTTAATCGATTAAATTCATTTACATAGATGTTCACATAGATAATTCATACTGTTTTAATCGATTATTTCAAATTTTAATCGATTAAAATCATTTACAGGAAAGATGACATAGGCCATATGTCCTGTTTTTAATCGATTATTTTGTGAATTAATCGATTAAAAGCTCTAGGTTGTGGAAATGTATCAATTAAAAGTGATTTACAATAAATTAATTTCACTAACTATGTTGTTACATTTTGATATTGCGCAAATATTTTTGATTTATTGCTTAAATATGTATGTTTGGATTAAATCTAGCTTTCCAAATATATAATTGACTAGATATTAAGGATCATGCAACCTTTTTTAAAAACTAAAACAATCAGCTAACAAATTCATAAAACCTCTTATGATTGCTCTTATAAGATTAGAAATGAATTAGGGATTCTAGATGCATCAAACTTTACATAAATTCACATTTTTTGAATATTTTAATTGATATAAAATAGCTTTAATCGATTAATATCCTTTATAATAAGTTTGTTCGTATCGATTTAATCGATTAATTCTCGATTTAATCGATTAAAAGTTCTCATGTTTTTAATATACTTCTGTTATTTCTGTTTTAATCGATTAAAACATAATTTATATCAATTAAAATCATTAAAAAGTTCAAATTTATTCGATTATGCTCTGTTTTTAATCGATTATTATTCTATAATTCAAAGTAAATGTTTTAGTTAATGGTTGTCTTTGTGACATGCTACTAAAGCAAGATTCACGTATCTTTACACGTATCTATTGCATTCACCGCAAACGTGTTAAGGAAGATAAAATTGAATCAATTTTACTTGTTCTTGAAAGAATAATAATTTTCATCTTTCTTTGGTTTACTACCTACATATGTTGTGAAATCTACATTTTTTCATCTGTTTTATACCTTCTTTCCCTATTTTTGATGAAGTCAAAGGGGGATAAATTTATTGAATAACTCACTAATCTATATGTCCAAGTGATTTCCTTTGCAGATCAAGACCTTTCAAATAGATTCAAAAGAGGTATTTGTTTTCATCAAATAGGGGGAGACTGAAAGTGATGAAGATCTTATTGATTGAAGATCTTAATGATTTGATGAAGTCAAAGGCTACTTGGGTTAAAGGGTAGAGTGATTAGTGAGTCAGCATCAATATTAATAGGTATAATCATTCCTATCTCTCTGCTACATGAGAATTATTCATTTTGAATGAATTTGGAAATTCCTCTAAACGTTTTAATCTGTTAAAAACTGAATTAATTGATTAATATGATCTTAAGGATTAGATTTAACTAATACACTTTAAGGTTAATCGATTAAAATGAGCTAGAAACATTCATGATAGAGTTTTAACTGATATGTTTTAGAAATAATCGATTAAAACCATTTAAAACATACACTAGAGTTGTTTTAACTAATTCACATTCGAATTAATGAATTATTTTCATTAAATAAGTATTTGAAAACTTTATGTTAGTATTTTAACTGATATAACTTCGAATTAATCGATTAAAATCACTTAAGAAGTATGGAAAAATGTTTTGCCAGTATTTTAATCGATATAACTTCGAATTAATCGATTAAAATCACTTGAAAAGTTTTGAAAAGTTTTTTGTCAGTATTTTAACTAATATAACTTCGAATTAATCGATTAAAATCACTTGAGTTGTTTTGGAAAGTGTTCTGCCAGAATTTTAATTGATGTAGTATCGAATTAATCGATTAAAACAACTTAATGAAATTTTGTCAAATGTTTTAATCGATTAAAACTTACTTTTATCAGTTAAAGTCACTTATGAAGTTTTGAGAAATTGTATGACAGTATTTTAATTGATTAAACCACGAATCAATCGATTAAAACAACTTAAGGAAATTTTGTATAACTATTTTAATCAATTAAAATGTTGTCGTATCAGTTAAAATAAATTTGGAAAATGATTAAGCACATTTTAACCGATTAAAAGATTAATTAATCGATTAATCAAGATTTAATAATCGATTAAAAGAAAGTTTTAACTGATTAATTAAACCAGTAGTTGAAAAATAACTCTATATAAATAGGATTGCTTCAGTGTTTTTAAATATCTCTTTGAGTAATCAATCAAGCAATCATTAGAGAAGTTTTTGAAGAAAGAAGCGCGCCACTTTTGTGAAGTCTTTTAAAGTTCTTTCGTGAGGCATTTTTACTTTCTTATATGTGAAGAAACTCATTCTACAAGAGCTGCATAATCCGGGTTTGATTGTTCTAGTTTCTTCTCTTTGTTTCTTTTCATTTCTTTATTGTATTGTGGGTGTCTGGAAATGTTGGACACTGGTTCTGTAGATGGAATTTGGCTGCAGGTTGGTTCAAGAACTGGAACTTGGTTCTTGGTGAACGATTGGTGCAAGAACTAAAATTTGGTTCTTTGTGTGGATTGGGTGTTTTGTGATTCGGGTTTGTAATAAAAAAACATAATCAATCTAGTGGAACTCAACTGGAATTTGGTTGAGAACTTGATGTAGCCCTGTGGTTTGGGTGAACTAGTATAAATCTTGTGTGCCTTTCTTTAAACCTTTACTCTCTTTTATTCTGCTTGTACATTACATAGAATTACTTGATTTTCTTGATTCAAAACTTGATCAGAATTCATAATCTTTGAAATAGATAATCTATTTCTTTAAAAGTGCGAAAATCTTTCAAAGATCAATTCACCCCCTCTTGATTTCAGCCTACATTTCTAACATCATCTATTGGTCTCATTCAGGATTATATTCAGAATTTGAGAGCACAATTAAGGTAAGAGATTAGGGATGAGCTAAGGGAGGAGCTCAAACAGGAGGTTACAAAAATTGTGACACAAAACTTGTGGTAGTTTGACTAGCGGTTGATGAGCCTAGGGCTCTCCCACCAGACAACTATTGCAGATGTACCACCAAGAGAGGATACAAAGCATCCTATCAGGTGTGGGCTTTATGTTGAAGACACTTATTTCCCTCGGTTGGTGGCATTTGGGAAGATGTTTGAATGGATCACTATGTTACATAGTGTACCTTTTCCTGCTCATTTAGTTAAGATCATGGTTGATAAAGTTTGTGATGGTAGTGCTATTGTGTCCATGCCGACAAATGAGGTTACTACTATAGCACAAACACTTCAAACTTTCATTTTCTGGCCTAAACATCTAGCTAGTCCTATATCAAATAGCACAATATGACAATAACAACTGTATATTTGATTCTTGCTTATTATATTATTTTTAATATTAATGTTATTTATGTGCAGTCATGACGCCAGAAAGATGGGAAAAAGAAGTAGTAATATAGTACTAGTGACCCTTTGTTTTCATTGTTGGATGTTGTGAGAACCATTAGTAGCAATCCTTGAGGTGTCATGGGATTCTACCATTTTTGGAAGGAAGAGTGATATCCCATTATATTTACATATGTCCGACGTGTTAGAGATTACAACAGGAAATTTAGAGCTTATCATATCCATTATACAATTGTGGATGATGTAAGTTATTTAATTTAAAGTTCTTAGTATTTTTGTTATTGAAATATTAATTATTATGTCACATTTTATAGGTATCTATCCCAGTTATGTGTGAGTGAGGGGAAAGATGAAGTGTATGAATTTTTGGATCCTCAACTCATTCAACCACTGGGTAAAAAGAAGCCAGAGACACAAACATACATCACAAATAGTCTCTTATTGGGAAAAAATATTTATTTTGCACTATATGGTTATGAGTAAGTAAATTTTCTTGATAGTTTATCTTTATTCAATTCCAATTTAAACTAACTTCAATATGTTTCAATGTATAGTCATCATTGACAATTGTTTGTCATATTTATGATTAACAACACAGCTACATAGTTTTGTTCATTGCATAAAAAGTCATCGCTATACCTTAAACAAATAACAGACTGGTAACTAAATTTGGTTATCTTTATAGAAATTATTATATTACAATTATATTTTTATATATGTTTTAACTAAGTGTAACTGTTATTAGTGCTTATTCTGGATATAACATAATGAACAGTAGATCAAGTGGAAGACCACAAAAACTCACGTGGAATGTGGTTACTATGTAATGGATGACAACCATTATCCAAGCATCAATAAATAGAAATTGAGATCAAGTAAGACAATTAATATTTATTTAAAGATGATTAGGTACCATAATTATACTTATGAAAATTTATTTACCATATTGCAGTATTTTATGGACACATCTCCCATGGATATAGATGTCATACATTATATTAGACACACATGGGCAACATACTTCATCAACATGGATTAATTCATTACAATAGCTTAGTTTCATGATTGTATATATGGTTGAACCTTAGGATAGTTGATTGATTAGTCTTGTACATTTAGGATAGTTTACCAATCATACTTATATGATTTATACTTACTTTGTAGGATTTTATAGCAAAACTAATATTATATCGTTAGTATTCTATATATTTATGATTTTGTATTACTGTAAATATGCCTAAAATTTGTATTATACTGAATTTTGTATATTTGAATATGCAGGAAATGGGAATAAGCCTAAAACAAATTTCACTTAAAAAAAATAATATATAACGATAGTTAATATCATACACATTGTCATATGCATGTTTGACATAAGGCTTCAACAATGGGTATGGTAACAAACATCGTTGTATTGTATAAGATACAACGATGAGTATTTATAAATATTCGTCGTTGTATGCAACTACAATAACGGTTAATTATAAATACTCGTCGTTGTATGCGACGTACAATAATGGTTAATTATAAATACTTGTCGTTGTATGTCACTACAACGATGAGTATTTGTAACTATCATCATATATCTTACATACAACAACGACTCCGTCAACTATAAGTCCTTAATCGATGTGATAAGCCAAAGTTAACCGTCATTAATGATCATTATTATAGTAGTGAGATTTTAACATTAAATTATATATACAACTTTTGAATTTGTAGAAATATGTTGTTAATGTATATATCATTGATTGATGTGATCATTCGTGTTCTATGTCCACTCTCCCACTCATATGGCAAATTTTACTATGCTTGTGGACATTTTAAGTAAAATTTTTATTTAAATTCCAAGATGTTATGAAAATATACCTTAACAAGTATTATTGAACTTACTGGATTACTCTCTAGCATATTGTTATAAAATTATTTGTAAATGTCTTGTATAAAATGTTAGGATTTTGATGTGAGGAGTTTGTCTTAGAGGTCTAACATTAGCTCAACCAACTTAATTAGCAAGTGAGATTCAACTTGTTTTTGTAAAGTCAAGTTAGACACTCACAATTTTAATAATATACATAGTCTATCCTAACAATTGTTGTTGGATATATGGATCAATCAAATATTAAACCACTATCAAACTACAACACTAAATATTTAAGATGTATAATCCTTAATACGAGAATGGTTAGATATCCACGTTGAATAGTAATATAACCAAAATAGAATATAGAAGAGGGGAAAACTTTCACCTAGTGATTTTGTAAGGTTAAATTATACCCAAATCAAATTTTAAAATGATATTGAATTATATCTTAATGGTTATTGTTATGTCATCACTCCTAAGTTGCCATTAGATCACTAGTAAATGTTTAATCCTTTAAATTTCATGCTTGAGATGTACAATCCATGAGGGTGTGTTTTGAAAATATAAATTAACTAGTAATATAAAATTATAGCGACAATTATTATGGAAATCATAATAATAAATATAATGGTAGGAAAATTTAGCAAAGCTTATAATAATAAAGAATGAGACAATAAAGACATATTAACGTGGTGATAGTAGTAATCATGATGATTATTGTACCAATAATGATATTGATGATAATGACAATCAACTACAATTATTGAAAAATAATAATCACAACCCAAATAATAACAACAATGATAATAATAACTAACAATCTATAACATATGATAAATAGAACAATAATAATGATAACCATAATCATCATAATTGTATTATCGATAAAAAAAAATGACAATAACAAAAATAATTAAATATGTTTATCTTATCATATTTTACTTTGACCTAATTGCTTTAGGAAATCTTAGAAGAGAATATATATATATATATATATATATATATATATATATATATATATATATATATTAATATTAGAAAGTGTATGAAAAATAAATAAACGTGAAAAATCAAACTATTATAAATAGATTCTCAAAATTCAGAACTAATTGAATGACATCAAATGGTTGATTTTTTCCTCAATGCCTCTAAGTCTATTCTAATAGCTCTTGAATTGTTATCATAAACACTTTCATAAATACAGATCATCATTACTATCATACGAAAACTCTAGCATTTGGAATATGGGCAATTCCTTCATGGTAAAAAAATTGAATCATTAAATTTCTTTCATTTTTAAAATCAACGGTGGAAGATTTTATATTTTATTTTTATTTATCTTCTCATTTTTCTCTTCTTTTTTCTTCTTATCATTTTAAAAAAAAAATCCATGAGAACACAAGTTAGATATACCAAAATATCTCATCAATGTACTCAAGCGTTATAAATCAAATATCTATAAATAAATTACCTTCCATTCCATACCCTGTTATTCTGCTAATTCTCACGTTCACTTGTGTCTTAGTATATATTCTTACAAATGCTCTCCACTTTTTTCCCATTTTATTATCTCCACCTTTTTTTAATTTACCCCAAAGAAATTCATTAAACTTTTAAGTATGAAGTTCGAGAAAATTCATTTCACTTAATCAATTTTATATAATAAATTGTAAATTATTAAAATATTATTCTAAAATCAGTGTAATATATGCCAACTTGGTGACAAAAACTTAAGTGTATGAAGTACAGTAAGTGCACGTTACATCCACGTATCGCACGGTATGCATGGGCATAATATAATATAATAAATAATTCCGGGTGAAAATAACGTGACACAACAGTGTGTGCCTATTCATAATTCAAACTGTTTTTTTTTCTTCCTATCCGAGCAATGTAAGTTACATAATAAAAATGAACTGTTCTGCAATTTGTTTATATATATATATATATATATATATATATATATATATAATTATTTAATTCATTTTGAAATATTGTGGATCTTAATATCTAATAATTTTAAAAAATAACATTTCTAATAAAGTAACAACTATTAAAATTACTAAAATTATAGCCACTATTATTACTCAACATGGTCCAAACTTTTAGGGTTTATCCATTGAAAGAAAAGGCAAATGAAACACGCAATTGGTAAAAAGAGCATTATATAACGAAGGAAGGAAAATATCATGTTTTAAAATGATATTATTTGTGATAATATTGTTTGATTAAAGTTTTAATTCATTATTATTTTATTCTTTAAAAATATTTAGAATATTTAAATGATTAAGAGAAGTTGATATATATAAATTATCCTTTAAATTTAATAAAAATATATTATACTAAAAAAAATATTTTATCTTTTTTTATTAAAAGATAAAAAAAATCAAAATAAAATAAGAAATTAAAAAAAAATCTTAAAATAAGTGGTCTTTTCCTTTCCTCTATCAAACTGTAAGATCATCATTTTTATATTAAGCCACCCAATAGAGGACAAAACTGTTCTTGCTCAAGTGAAGTAGTTCCTACCATGTAATTGGGTTGGTCAAAACGTGCCTTAATAAAGGGAAGACAATTTACAAAGGCACAAAACACAACATTCATTGAATTATTTAAGGTTTAGGTTTTGTTTCAACTATATGTATAGAATATATGAATGCACATAATCGTTGGGCTCTAGTACAAATATATAGGACCATCAATGAAACCAACTTTTGAATAAAACTATGTAGGTTTTCTTGTTTTTGTTTTTTTTTTTTCTATTATTTCGGTAAGCGAGAAAATTTGTTGGGTCGTTTTGAAATATTAAACTTTGAATTTCAACGTCTAATAAAGATACCAAGCTAGTAGTATTTTAAATTCAAATGTTACTAGATATTAAACCTGACCTGTGATACATTTAATAGCCTTCCATGAATACTAAATATTATCTGCCATTTGTATTTTATAAGAATAAAGTTTTTCATTTAAAATGAAAAATAAGGAGCAAAGTAGTTAAAAGTTACTTTTTTTTTGTTAAGATGATTATGAGAGGCGAGAAAAAAATGTTTAATTTTCTATTAATTTAAAAATGTTAGAAATTCATACATGAGTTAAATTTTACCTAATAAAAATATAAAAATTAATTAGTTAAGACTCATAATCTGATATTTTAAAATATTTTTTTTAAGATTGATTTGTGTCTTATTAATTAAAAAATTTTAAATTATTAACCTCCCCGTAAATAAATTAATAAAAGAAACACTGTAAATAACATCATTAAAAAAAAGTGAAAGAATAAGTGATTAAATTATAAATTAACAAGTATTTATGTTTGGGGTGTTCTGAACACTGGTGTTGAAAATGCATTCTACAGCAATTCTACATACAACTAATATAATTTAAATTAGTTATTAAATGTAATCGATAAGAATGATCTTCGTTTTAGATTGATTGTACTTAATAATGACATAGAACTTGTCATTTAAGTTTTTCTTTTGTGAACCTCAATTTAATAATTTATATAATAAAGAAAAATATATTTCTAATCTTTATATTTTAAGTGAAATTTTAATTTTATATTTTTAAATTCACATATTTGGTTAGACAACTTTTACAAAATATATGAATTTAATTCTTTTTTTGTTTAAATTTAATATTTGTCGTTAAGTTGAAGAAGAGACTACATTGTATTTTATAAATATAATTTTTGTTTTTCTTCCATCTAGGAACAAAAGTATCTCACTTGTGTCTATAATGATAATATCATTAGGGTCAATTCACATATCCGATGTATTGTCTGCTTTGAAGATCTCGTATTTTATCCTTAAAAGACTATTTACGGATTAAGAGAGCAGGTGTATATAATCTATCCTTGGACTCTACTCCTAAACGATATCGAACGTACTTGAAACATAGTCCTCAATCGCTTTAGAACTCTAGTTTATTATAATTTTGTCTTTAAAAAATACCTTAATAAATTAAAAAAGAATTATATATATATAAATTATTTTTTGTTTCAAGATGTATCATTAATCAATTAGAAACAATTTTAAATAAAAATAAGCCCATTGACATTGTGCATGCACTTTGGAGTATTTTAAAAAACGTGATTCTCATATTAAATTTTGATCACATTAAATAATAAATTATTTTGTTCAATTCATCATATTCAATTCAATATAACGTATCTAACAACTCATCCCTCATAAGTAACCATTTGTTTTTCTTATTTTATATCGTAACAAAACAGAAAATAAATTACGTAAAAATAGTTTAATATTGTCATTATATATATATATATATATATATATATATATATATATATATATATATATGTTATTACAATCTATTTTAAATGGATACTAATTTTTTGTAACTGTCTTTTTTTGTATGTATTTTTTATAATTTTATCTTTATTTGTAATAGTTAGATGATTATTTATTTTATAAAAATTGTTGTTAGTATTTTCATTTTATGTAATAACACCTTTATATCCCCTAGTACTATATAAAAGTTAACCCTAAATACAAATTTTAGAATAAATTTATTTTTAATAATACTCCAAATGAAAAAAAGAGAGTTTATTTTAGCTTTGTAAATTGATATAAATAGAATATTAATCTCTAAATACTAAATTTAAAATTAAAAAAATTAAAATCATTTTAATTTTAAAAATGAATATGAAAGGAGTAAACTTATATTTAACCCAACAATCAACCAAATGAATTAGATTGAATGTGAACATATAAAAAATAAAAAATTCCATAAAGTCATTCACAATGAGGCAATCTCACATGGTGCCACCACACTTTTCAGATTAAGCCATTTCCTATGATTGGTGCATGATGAGGATTATGGAGTAAAAAATTACTAAACCAAGTTGTAATTGGATGATTTATCCATGGTTGGTATAGAGCATTATAATTTTCACAATAAAATAAACTAATTTTGCATCATACCTGTTACATATCCATGATTGTCAAATCACCTTAAAAGGATCCCTTAAGCAATCACTCAAAAACTTCCTCTTGAAAAATCACGCAAAAAAGTTAAACAAACTTTTACCTTTAAAAGCACTTCGAAAATTAGAGAGTTATATTCATGGTTACATGCCAGTGTAACACACAGGTTTCATCTAATGGATTAGTTTGAAAAGTATTAAGAAAAAAATTAAAAAAATAAAGTTAACCATAGACATTAAACTTAAATTAAATCGAGTGAATTTTAAATTTACTTATTTAGTTTGTGGTATAAATTGATTGAAATTAGGATAACTTATAAATTTATAGTCTAACCCATTTTATAAATTAATTATTATTTATTAAATAAAATTGAAATAATATTATTTTATTAATATATATATATATATATATATAATTAAAAAAAGGATTACTTTTATCTAAAAACAAAAGTTAGAGTTATTTTTTATTTTTTTATAATTTAATATTTAAAATGAATTATTATTTTAAACTATTAGATTACTAAATAATAAATTGTGATGTTATTTTTTAAATGAGGAATTTTTTATATAATTTATATATTAAAATGTTATATTTAAAATAAAAATTAATTATATTAATATAATTTAATTTTTAAAATTTTTTAATTAAAAAAATAGTTTTATTAAATAAATTTTATGTAAATATTATTTTTAATTTTTAATTAAATTAAAATTAACTCATTAATTTATTAATTTATTGACTTATTATAAGATTGACTAAATAATAATAATAATAATCTATCGTAAATATATATATATATATATATATATATATATATATATATATATATATATATATATATATATATATATATATATATATATTACCATGGAATTAGGGCTTAGCAACCTGTTTTTATAACCCTAGAATTTTCCAACAACTATCCATTTTTACCAGCTAAATAATTTCTTCACCAACAAAATACAAGGTGGCGTAAAATGAAGTTTTAAGGCATTTGAACGTACTCTCTTTTAACTCTACTTCTAAATAAAATTTAACAATTTTTAATTAAATTACCAATAATCTAAAACGACTTTATATCAATTTAATTTATTTATTTTTTTACATCGGAAGTTATACATATTATTCAAAGCCTTATACACCGTCCGATGATCTGAACGCATATAGTATCAAACTACCCTCTTAACATAATTATTCTATACTTCAAAGTGACATAACCAAGACTCATATTCTACACTACTATGATTATGTAAATTTAATTTAAATCATAAAATATAATTTATACATTTTAAAAAAACATAAAGATAAAAAAATATAATAACATTTTCACTCGCTATGATAATTTGTTTAAAAATATTTAAAAATATAATCAGAATCCAAAACTGATAAAATTATATTTATAAGGACTCAAAACTTAGGAAGATCTTATGTTTTGTGGATCAAGAATTGCTATGCCAACGCAGGGTTACGACTCATGTAATTGCTCTTGCACTACACAACATCACAAACCGAGCAAAAATTTCATGTCCGAATAAATATCAGCATAGTCAAGTTAATGTAATATCACACTAAGTGATTTCCACTTTCCATTACTAAGCTGATAAATTTAGAATCCAGTTTTTTAAAAAACTTGGTGTCAGACTTGATATAGATTCAATGATAAACACAAGTATATATCGAGGAAACCCAAAAATGTTAACAACGATGTACTACTTCATACTTCCTCAGTTGAAAGAAGGGAAAAAAGAAAAGAAAAAATGATAATAAACTAGTCTATGTCCTCCCTTAAATGTTAACCGTCCTAGAAGT